TTGCGATGCATTGGCATACAATCTCTTGACAGTTTTACAGGTTTAGGGCTGAATTTACCTCCAGAAACACGTTCAGTCCACAACTTGGGTAGGCGTGTGTATTTCCTCTAGAGAAAATGTGACTTCAAGGAATTGATTTCAGGGAAGGACAGAAAGCCCTTTTGGAACTCTTCAAATTATATTGGACCCGGATTCCGCCTATTTAGGGGTCATAAAGACGATCAGATTGCCAGGTCTTACCTACCAACTCCTGAAGGAGATTCTTGCAGCGGCACTGCTTCGTTTCAATGTTGCTTTAAGGAGGAAAACACTTTCAAGGAGGAGGCTCGTGAACAACTCTTCTCAGAACAAGTTTACACCCAATAGTATGAAACCCAAATTTTAATTTATGTTCAACATTTCCAGTCAGCCTCCACTTTTCTTTCCTCTATTACACTTCTTATTCCTGTCCTTCTTATTCCCAAAAGATTTGTATGAGCTTGACGATTTGAAATTGTTCATGCAACAGTGTCTGGTGGACACCAAATCCACGCTGTAGCCATCGAATCAGTCCTGACCTAAAGTCACCCAATAGGACAGAGTACAACTGCCAAGTCCTTTACGGAAGCTAATTGTCACTGATTTTTATCTGCAGAGTGGCAATTGGTGGGTTGGGACCGCCAACCATGTAGTTAGCAGCCTACCACTTACTGACTGCTCCACTAGGCCTTTTCGGTTTGATAGTAGGTAGTATATAACATTTGCTATTTGAGATAGCTTAGTCATTATTGCCCCCAAAATTAAACATTAATTAGGAATCTCTCATTGGTATTAATATTTGTTATATTCTGAAACAGTTTATCATTATACATCTTGAAAGGGTATTCTAATGCCTGTAGGTCAATAGCACTGTTATTTTCTTCCTGGATATTCTACTAGTTATAATTGCTCTAAAATACAAACTGCATGCTGGGGAAAAAGGCCTTCTATTGATTCAGTACCTGGAAGAATGTATACAGTAATTTCTCAGTAGCATTTGTTGAATAAAGGTGAAGAACACATGAAGAAATCCTTTCTCAAAGTTGCACCAGAGAGATTTTTAAAAGAATAATTCTAGATGTCATAGGTATAAAATTCCAAGAATCACATATTTATGAGCACACATTTCACTGTTACATACTTTACAAACAAAATCAATATGGTCCTTTTCCTTTAGGTGAACTATGCTATTGGTACCATACATTTTTAATTTTAATTAGATTTTCTATCTGCTGTGTCTAATCATTAAATTTTACTAATTTTAGAATCTAAGGGGCAAATATATATGATATAAATCTAAAGCATATTGATGATAATGAATAAGAAAAGAAATATCCACCATGTGTTACATATTTTGCATAGGCAAATAATATATATTTTAAAGTTATGCTCTTCTTTATTGCATCCTTGCCCCTATGATCTCATTATTCATCTAGAAAAGTGATACATAGTTTGGCTTGGCCGATTATGATGTGTTTCGTTTACGAGTGATAACTTGGAACATGGCAATCAGGTAGATCTGAGTTTCAGCTGTAACTCCACTGCTTGATAATT